AAATCTATAATGCTGTGTAGCTTAATCTGAATAAAGCACAGCAAACGTCTATTAATTGATGACTATGTAACATTGGTCATGATAGATGGGACACGGATGACGGCCTATGAGGGATTACCAGAAAATGGCATTCTCGACTAATAACATCGATCATATTTATCGGTGGTCAACCTTGAGATATCTTTTGGATATCTACTACCCAAGAATGGTGCCAGTGAATTATTTACTCACACAAATGCGAAAAACGTTTATCTGAGCTAGAAACTTACAAATGATTTTGCTGCCACCCGGTCACTGTCTTCCCATTCATTACCGATATTGTAAACGTAAGCATTATTTCTATACAAATACCCTTCAACTTTGTATGCTAAAGTAGAAATGCAACCGGATTTCAAAGGGAATATCATCAAAATGTGGAATATGATAAGTGAATGTCAATATAAATGACACATGGATAATTGGACAATACTGACTAAAAATGAGAACTGAAGTAACAATGTGATAAAGGTTACTCCTAGTCAATCTCTAGTAGAAAATGGACTAAAACCTTCATTTTCGTCTTTTGCTCGGGGTTGTGCATGTGCCACAGGCAAATTCAAGTAGGTCATCTATCTTCCGTTGACCGTCCGTCTCCCCCTTCTAAAGATAAATTACTCAAAAAGGAACTAAAAGAATTGAAGAGAAACCAGTTAAAACCTTCGCAAAAAGATTTAAAAATAAGTTACCATTGAATTCTTCTGGATGGTGAGAGAATTCCAGGTACTGGATTGAACACAGAAGAGCAGATAGGAAGCAATACGTTGCTGTTCTGTCAAAGCCCCAGAGAACCAAAAGCCGAACAGAAAGCCGATGTTCTTCTGAACTATATATCTGGAAGCTCAAAACTAATGATTTGGTCACATCTAAGCGTTGGGTTCACACCGCACTGCGCTGTGAATAAGAGGTTTGAGTCATCGGGTCCGAAGTATTCAAATATCGCTCACAAGATGAAATTGACCAGAAAGTTCCCTAGTCTAACAACTGAAATTTCCGAGTTAAATACACAATTAAGATTCTACTTCAAATATGTGTCTCCGTATGAGAGGTACTTTGATATCTTACACCGTATTGGTACCAGGTCGAAGTCGTGCAATGCTAAAACCAGATACTGCGTGCTTGACTGGATTGCAGTCGGTAGCTGACTAGCGCTTCAGTGGTCTAAGGCGTAGATTGTTTACTCCAAATTCGCGCAGACCACGGATTTCTCAATTCAAGCTCCAGCCAGTCCAATAAGAAATGACGTATGCCCAAATGAGAAATCTGTAAAACTTCCCAGTGATGGACCCGAAACGGTCACCTTGAGCTCAGCTTCTATGGCTTTAAATGACTTGAGATTGTCGATCTCACTAGACAATCAGAGCGGGGATGAACAGTGAGTTGTAAAGAGCCACGTTTCAAATACACCTGCGAAATAACCGTATCAAATGGACCGGAAATGATATCCACGTTACAAACTGAAGCAGAAAGCTATGATCACATCTCACTTTGACCAGCAGATATAGTAATCAAAGAGTTTTGGTGACCAATTGGGGAGGTAATCCAAATATCCATCAGAATAATGGTAGTTCCTGGCATTTTACCTTAAAGCAATCCAAGGAAAAGTTTGATATTAGCTGGTTTGGTAAATTATCTTTAAGCCATTGCTCGCGAGAACAAACAGAGCAAATCGCTTGAGTATCAGTTAATCAAGTGTCTGAGAAATGTCCGCGAGAAGGGATGCGTAGGTACAGTTAAATAAAGTTGCAGAAGTCTGTGGTTATGGGTAATAGTCGCAATCAGTTTCCTCTTATTCAGAGTGGTGAATGACTGACAGATTGTGTAGGTGAGCTTATGAATGAGTCTAACGAAAAAATGATTCACTATCAGCAACACAGTTTGGAGCGGTGGAAAGAGCGTTTTCGGATGCGAGTCAGCTCACCTCTATCGATATTGGAATCGTTCTCCTTTGATTCCAATGAAAAATGCTGTCGGTGTTACCCCCAAAGTTTGTGGAGAACAATTAGGCTTAAAAAATAAAACGCCGGTTTGAGCGTGCAATGTTCATCGGATTTGCGGGATAGAGGTTCAACATTCATATTGGAATTAACAAAACTACTGAATTCAGTATGAGAAAGTGAACAGTTTGTAACCGAATAAGACCAGTCGCTCGTGTTCCAGATTCACGAAAAACACAATTATTGATCTCGTGTAAATCAAAGAGAAAATATTTCAATTAACAACCATAAACCCGAGAGCGTCTAACTTCGTCCATTGGCTGGATCACCGGGAACGGTGCATGAGAGAGAATCAGGCTGTTTACAGGCATGTTCAAGTTTGTACCGACCACAATTTCACTCCTCTACTAGAAATCATTCTTTGCCTACATCTAGCATTTCTATCTTATTCGATCTGAAAACGGCCGTTCAATCAGTCGACCGATCTAAACTCGTGTAGTGTTACCATTGGAATGGCTTTCGAGCGAAGTTAACAAACGTTTTATGATCCCTTATATCAATAGTCGAAGCCAATTTGAAGCCCACGGCTCTTTTCATTCGAGTTCATCATAGAAAACGGTGCGTATCAGGATTATCATCTGTCCCCTTTACTATTCAACAGTGTACTGGATGTCATCCGGGAAACTACTCTGTTCTCATGCAGTCATAATGGGTCTAGTCTATCCCCAGTTGAAAGAATGTGTGATCTGGATTATGCTGATCATAGGTCAGTGCTAAGAGAAGGTTCGAATTAGTTGCAAACTTTACTTAATGGTTTGGGTGATTGTTTTGCCATGTGTGGCATGTTTTTTGCACTGTTAGTGGGCAACATTGCTACATGGCTGGGTGGATGCGCTTTCGATTTGCGGCAAATAGATGATGAAAATAGTTAGATAATGTAGAGTAAGTTTGCATTCAGGCATCTACATATCACCGGGCGGATACATCATTGTTGAATTTTTGGCTCTAAAATAGAAGTCTCACTTGACATTTGTCAACTTGAGACATCTATGGTGCCACCGACCGATGGCTTGTCTTGTAAGGATGGAGTATATGCTTGATTTTGAATGCACGTTAAAGGTACTGAAACTGCCACCTGTCACCACAGTTTTAAAGTGGTTGCCATGTGATTTTTATTTTTACTTCTCAGTCATCCTTTGCGTAAAAGAATCCAGATTTAGCGTTACAGACAGTCACATGCACTATCGGATATGTATCAGTGATCTTTACGGTTGGTTTTGTCCCAATTTTAATGCGTTTTACCAATCGTGTACATGGCCGGTTGCTTATTTTCAAAGCTTATTATTCCCATTGTATTCCAATTCCCCCTTAGAAATAAATAACGGAGATTTAATAACCCTAACCGCCACCAGAAAATGCATTTCCTTTGTGTTCTATCCAGATACTGGATAGAACATGCAGACGTACACTTCGACTGTGATGGAAATTGTCGTACAACCGCAGATCGGTAGAACTGTTTCATGCTGCATATGTCCAGACTTTCGCCCTACCGGGACTCTAACTACGGAGCACATGGATGGATGTCTAAATTGGTGCATATGAGCCTCACAATCAGTAAGTATTACACGAAATAACTAACTCCCCGGATAAGAAACAGCGAGAAACGCATGAAGGTCGTCTATAAATCTTAGTTTCTGAAACTCATTCTCTATTATTATCGTTGTCAATAGTTCTGAATGACTTTTATCTACCGTGGTAATTTGGGACGACTTCCATAAATAAATCGAAATTAAACGTTCCTTGGGCATGTAGAAAAATGATATATACGAATTTGTGACGAATCCAGCACCTGTTCCGGCTGTCACGCGATAACTAAGTTCTACATGAATGATTTTCCCTGAATAATGAAAGTGAAACGATGTTGAGATAGATTTTAATGCCCCATGAGTATTTTACTTACTGACAGTAGCAGGAGAATCACTTTTAGTGCTTTGAATAATTGGTTATGTGAATAAAATTAAATGAACACAATCGGAGAATTAGCTGCAAATGGAGTCTCGTTGGAAAAGTGACCAATAGTTGAACAATATTTTGAAATTTGACTGACCACCCAAATGTGTATAATGACGTTCTACCGGTGAAAATTATATTCGTATCCACATTATCACTACACAACGTTTTGACTGTTAACTGGTCGGCTTTTATTTTTCAATTGTTATTCACATGCAAGTCGAACTCTATGGAATGATTCATTCAGCTGGTCATTATTGAGTAACAACAAAGTCATTTTCGCCTTCTATTGTGTGTCTAGGCGTATATTGGTCGAGAAGTTGATTAGGTTGTGACCGCTCAAAATACAGTTGCATCTATCAATTAAATGTACCCGAAAATAGGTTCAGATTCCTTAAATTGGATGGAAAATCATAATCATTTGATGTTCCACGGCATCGTCGTTTGCATCAATCCAAATCCGGATAACAACTGGTATTTCGTTTCTTCAAGTCATATTGCACAAATGTTTATGCAGATTCATGATGGTGGAACGCAAGATATATCACTGCTTCTATTCAGTTTAACTTTATTCGCGTTTCATACTTCGACGGCGTGGCTTTGAAGTGGTCGTTAACGTGGTCTGAAGTTTGACTACTCTAGACTAAAGAATAACATATGGTTAGTGAAGTAGTTTGCAGTCATACGACGATTTTTCAGTTTTTGGTGTAATTCTGGGATTTGTGCGCTGGTTATTCCACCACTCACCGCATTTATTTTCACAACAGTTCGACTAATACCGACCAGAAGGAATTCCTTCGAATATACAAAACAAGGTTCGACTGAAAACAACGTGGCAACTGTCCCACTTGATCATCATAATTATTATCATAAGTATCATCATTCCAATCTACTACCTCGTCGGCGTAATCATCATCAATTATGTGCCTTATGAAACAAAATATATGCCAAAGGTCTGACATGTAACCGATATCCTTGGTTTCAAATCAGTCGGAAAGTTGCTAAACGTTTACTCACCCTTGACTTTGAATTTTTCGCTTCGAACTGGCAGGAAAAAATGAAAAAAAAATAATTTTAGCACTCTTACGTGAAATCACTTTGCCGTCGATGATCAAGCATGATCCAGAAAAAAATGTGAATGAAATACTAAGTAGCAATTGAAAATGCCATATTGTTTGCCCCAGCAAAACCGCGGTCTGCCATTCATTAGATGGCCCTGTCAACGGAATTCCTGGCAATATTGACAATATCGGTTTTGTCACGTACAATCCACACAAAGGAACTGATGAAATTAAGATTGAACTGAAGTTCAGTCTAAGACCAGTGTATATGAATTAACAAGCATTATGTTGTATGCAGCAGTGGTCAGATTTCGAAACGTTCGTTCATTAAATAAATGCCTGAATGATTATTCGTTGAGAGGATGGAAGTGACCCACATATTTTTTGACACTGGAATCAAAAAGTGATGTGCATAGATAAGGCGATCGCTAGAACAACGGCGACCACGTAGAAGATATTCACGATCTGTGTGCCTATGGATGAACATTTTTGTCTCATTGACGAATAACCCAAAAAAGAAATTTCTCCCCACAGTTAAAACGGATCCTAAATGTAAACCTTCCTTGTAACACTGAGTGATTCTCGGTTACACGGCGTGTCTATATGAAATGTTTTTTCTATTTCTTACATTCGTTGCAAGTGTGAATGATTGAAACATGACAGATCGATCACGAGGAGATAATATAATTTATGATTCTTTCAATTTTATATTTTGGAAAATGTTTGATTTTGGATTTCTATAAGAATTAATATCCCTTTGTGCGGTATAGTCGTAGTCCAAATATCTTCTCCTAAATGTGTAACACTTTCACATCCCACTGTTTCAGAACCTATCATAGGAATTGGGAAGTGATGATGAATTTGTATCTT